GGGACAAAACCAGCTTTAGGGGCTGGAAAACCCCTGACATTGGGGTACCAAGAGCCCCCCAAAACCATCCTGGGCTGGAGGGGGGAGGTGGTTTCTCTCCCTCCCCCCCAGAAAAAGAGGGCACAAAGCTGTGGGTGCTGGTGCCGGGGTGGGGGGGGCACCAGCAGGCGCACGCCCCCGCTAATGAGAGCTGCAATTAACCCAAATTAATGAGGGCTGGAAAGAGGCTGGCGACGTTTGTGGGGCCGGGGGGGGGGGGTGTTTGGGGTGTCGCGGGGGGTTGGAGGGGCCAGATAAAACCGTCCCGGCACGGGAACGGCCGCTGCCCCTTGGCTTTGGGGCCAAACCCCGTAAATCTGGGACAAGTGCTGCAAAAAGCGCTATTTTTATTAGGCTAATGATGGATGCGGCCTCAGTGCTCCGTTTTTGGGGTGCCAATAAGAAAGCAAGGGGGGGGGTCCTGGGGGGGGGGGGGATCACCGGCTGCCCCATCGCCCCGTGCTGGGGATGCTCTGCTCCCGCCGTCCCCGCCTGTCCCCTTCCCTGTCCCCTGACAAGCGCCCTAAAAAAAAAGGTCGGAATAAAGGCGAACCCCCAAATTTGGGGAGTTCAGGGTCCCCGAAGGCAGAGCCCGAGGGGGGGGGCGGCCGTGGGGGCAGGATCTGTCCCCGGAGGGGGACGGCGGGTGTTTCGGGAGCTATAAATACCTCCCAGCCGCCGCCGCCGCCCGCTTGAGGTTAAATAAACCGCCCGAAATAGAAACCCCGATTCCGGCCCCGGTTATCTCCCGTGTCGCTGGATCCAGCCCCGGGGGTCCGACCCCTCTCTGAGCCTGTCACCCCCCCCTCCCCCCCAAATCACCCACCGGAATCCCCCCCCCCGCCCCAAGTTGGTGCTGTATCCCTACAAGGGGTGACGGGGCTGGTTTAGGGGGGGGCTGGCTGAGATACGGGGGTCACTGGGTGCTGGGGTGGGGAACACATCCCCAGCCTCCATCTTCTGGGGGCCCCCCAACCGCTCAGAGCACCCCGAAGCCCATCCCTGCTGCGTCACACACCCCACACCCCCCCCCCACTTTATCCATCCCAAACCCAAAACTATCCATCCCACACCCAAAAGGTGACCCCAAAAGACACCCCAAATCCAGGCAGGGCTGAGCGCTGCTGGGGTACAGCCTCCAGCTTCGGGCCCAGGGACGCCCCAGCACCCCCAAAACCCACTCCAGCTCCTATCCCCAAGTTGCAGGAGGGGGTTTCACCCCCTTTTTCCCCGCTGGAGCAAAGATGGGGGGGGGGGAATAGTGAGGGATTCAGGATCCTTTGATGCCAGGTCCCCCCCCCCCCCCCCAAGCCACCTATTTGGGGTGGCAAGGAGCCAGAGCCCCAGGCGCTGCCCCGCGGCGTCCTCCAGCCGGCACAAAGCCGCCCTCTGTGTCCCCGGCCGGAGGATGCCGGAAAAAAAAAAGGAAAGAAAAAAAAAAAAAATTAAATAAATCAGGGGAAAAAAAAAAAAAAAACAACCAACCCTAAAAGCAACGTTTCTTACGGGGGCCGGCTCGAGGGTCCCGCGGCTTGAACGGAGACCGGGCTCGGGGCAGGATGGGGCCGCAGGGGGGATTTGGGGGGTTTGGGGTTTTTTCTTTTTTTTTGGAAAGGGAGCGGAAAAAAAAAAAGCAGCGGGGTCGCGAGGCCTAATGAGGCGCCGGGGGTGGAGGGATTAGAGGGGTGGGGGGGGGGATTTGTGGGGGGACCCTGGCTGGGCGGCGGGGGGCCGGGGCTGGGCAGGGCCCGTCGTTAGGAGAAATTACAATCAGGAGTGTCGTGGAGTGTGCAGCCTCCCCCCGCCCCGCAACTTGTCCAATTTGGGGATCAAAAAATTGCACCGTGGTGGCATTTGGGGGGGGGGGGGATGGACATCTAGAGGGGCAGTGTCTCTGCGGGCTCCCCCGCCCCCATCTGCTGGGAGATGGGGGGCAAGAGGGGAAACTGAGGCATGCCTGGTCCCACCCTGCCGCGGGGCCAGGGCGCTCTGGGGGAGGTTTGGGGACCCCAGGCTGCAGGGGATGGAGGGGGGACCCCAAATCTTCCCCCAGAGCAAATCCAGAGCTGCAGGAAATCAAAGATTTGGAGGGGTGTGTGTGTGTGTGTGTTAACCCCCCCCCCCCCCATAACCCTAAATGCTAAGAATTGGACCCAAAGCAGAGCCCCGCCCCCCCCGAAGCCTTAAGCACCCCCACATCGGGGTGGGGGGGGAACCCCAAAAGCACCCAGAGCTCAGGTGGAAACTCCTCCCCACCCATTTTCAGGGCTCACGGTCCGACACCCCCCACCCCCCACCCCCCCCCGCGGCGTCTGCCCCGGGTTTTGGGGCACCTCCCCCTGGTTTCGGGGTACAAGGAGCTGCAGCCCAGGGATGTCGTGTGTGTGTGTGTGTGTGTGTGTGTGTGCCCCCCCCCCAGCACACACTCCCCCCCCCAAGGCACAAGGGCGTCTGTGTCCACACACGCCGTAAATCTGGGACTCGGCGTTAGAGGAACTCGCCTCATTATCCCGCCGGAGCGCCGGCCGGGCCGCTCAGCGTTTACCCAACAATGCGGATGCCAATCGCAACACGCGGCCGCTCGCTGCAGCCCACAAAGGGCATTTTTGTCCCAAACAGCTTTTTTTTTTTTTTTTTTTTCCCTTATTCTTCCCCCCCTTCCCCCTTTTTATTTTATTTTATTTTTTTCATAGCAGCCGTGATGGATTCAGCATCCAGGCGGGTGGGAGATGGGCTGACGCTTGGCACCGTGTCACCTCCCAGGCCTGGGGAGTGGGGGGGGGGATGCGCTTTGCCGATAGGATTTGGGGGGGGGGGGTGATGGGTTGCAATGGGATGCTGGGGGGGGGAAGATCTCCGGGATGCGCGGCCCGCGCCGTCCACACTTGGACAGCAAACACCCCCCCCCCCCCCCCCCGGCTCCTGGTCCCTCAACCTTCCGCACGGACACTGAGCTACTCCGGGCCCGGCTGTCGGACCGATGGTTGTACCCGACCGTGGCCGGGAGGGACCTCGGGGTGCCAGGAGCTCGGGTGGGGGTCCTGCCCTTTGCTCGAGGGACTTGGGGGTGCGCAGACCCCGAAACCGCCGCAGCCAGAGCTTTGTGTTCGGCTGGATGCTTCGGCCCCGGGCCAAGCCGCGGTGAAAACGCCGTAGAAAGGAACCTCTGAGAGCCAGACCTCCTCCATCATCATCGTCAGGGGTCGGAGGTGCTGGGAGGAACCTCCCTGGCTTGGGGGGGCCCCAACTTCTACGGGGAGAAGCTCCTCCACCCCGGAAGGCAAGGAGTAGGCTAGGAAACCCAGAGCGAGGTGGCCCAAGGGACCAGGCGAAGGTCCCGGCCCACCCTCGCTCAACGCCGAGAGCTGGAGATCGTCGATTTACCCGCTGAACTGAGCAGCAAGCCCCAAATTCTCCACCGAGGCATCGTATCGAGGCGGCCCCGGCCGCCTCCGGGCCAGGGACTTGCTCCCTGTTTGGATCCGCCTGGTCCGGGTCGATACTGGCACCGGTCGGAGGCCAGGCCGGACCCCTCTGCAGGGACCAGGGGGGCTGGGGACGTCCCGCCCAGCCCGGGGAGCCAGGAAAAAGGGACAATCGGGGAGTTCCAGCGGATACGACTCCTGGTTTCCTCCTTTTGGGAAGCCAGCGGGACGCCTGGAGCAGGCGGGAAAGGATGGAGAAAGGTCCCCCCAGGCAGGAGGGACCACCTCGTCCGGAGGAGAAAAGAAACCAACCCGATCCTTTCGGGCAAAAATCGGCGAAGGTTTTTGGCCGGTGCGTTCGCGGAGGCACAACCCCCCTGGGGGAGCAGGGAGCGTCGCCCCGAAGCTCCCCGGCGGCAGCACCGGCTCTCCGCCCCCGATAGCTGCAGGATTTTGGGGAGAACTTCCCCCCCCCCCCCCAAAATCCCCTCCTGGGTGGGAGATGGGGGCTCAGGGAGATGCAAATCACCCCAAAGGGCTTCTGGAGACGCCCCGGGCTCAAAAAGCTCGTTAGCAGGGAGCAGGGCAGGTAATTCCCGACTTCTAGGCACAGCTCTGGGAGCAGATGAATGGAGCATTGAGCCCTGGGGTGGGAGACAGCGACGTGGGTATTTGCAGAAGCCACGTGTGTGTTTGTAAGGAATGTCAGAGACGCTAATAACTGGCTCTTTGGAAATATCGGGCAAAAATCTTGCTCATGTCTAGGAATAAGGATACAGGAAGGAGGAAAAAAGTCAATATGACCTGAAAATCCCCAGGCTGGGATGGCCAGGCAGGCTGGGCAATGTGATTTATTCTATTAATAAGCCAGAAAGAAGGGCAGGGATAAATGCTGAATGCATTTTTGGTGGCCGCAGAGGGCCGGGAGCCACGCGGCCGGGGGGGGGGGGGGGGGGGAGCCTCTTCGGGGTCCCAGCGCAGGCGAGGCACAAGCCGCCTTTGACGGGGCCATTTTCTCCCTGGCTTTTTTGGGAGCAGGGAGCCAAGGAAAACACTGGGACTTGTTGATTTTGTTCCCGGGACACCGTAAGGGGCTCTTTCAGCCCCGAACTACTGCTCGGGAGCGGGGCGGCGGGGGCTGGGAGCTCCTTCCCGAGGGTGGGACAAAGCCCTGCAAAGCAGGTTACTGGGACAGGGTCCCCCTTCCCCAACCTCACCACCCCCAGCGCCAGCGAGCGTCGAAAGCCGCGGCGGGAACACGCCGCACGCGGCGGGAAAGGCCTCTCGACTGCAGCTCGCAGCAGCTCTGGCTCCTTCCTCCAGCAAACGGGGCTAAAACACCTCCGTACCGGGAGCGCCCCAGCCTGCCGAGTGATTTATTTCACCGAGAAGGTGAATTACACAGAACAGCCTTCCCCGAGCAAGGGCTGCTCGCTACCAGCGACGCTCCAGCTCCTGGTGCAGGGCTACAGCTCCCGGCCCGTTTTATTTAACCACGAATCACGACACGTGCACAAAAAGAGAAGAGTTACTCTGTTTTTTTTTTTTTTTTTTTCCTCAGATCTTTACTTGCAGTAAAAGATAGAAAAAGGTAGTAAATGAACTTGGTATAAAACACACGGAGGGGAGAGGGAACAGGTACAAACCAGCCTACAAAGAACAGAACCTGGCGGGAGCAAGGGGCGAAAGGGAGAAATTTTGTACAAAACTACTGCTTACAGGTAGAGAAAAATGTATAAAATATCCCTATCTGGAGGCAAAAATACAAAAGTGGACGTTATCTCAGTCTTTACTCATACTTAAAAAGGCTATGTACACGAGGGAAAAGCAGCAGGTTCCGCGGCTGGGGAAGCTTGTCAGACACTCGCCGCTTCCTCCCACCTGGCGCTCGAGAAGAAATGAACCCAGGCGAAAGCACCAGCACAGCCCCACCCGACCCCCCGAGAAAAACGTGCAGAAGCCTCGGGACGTCCCCCGAACTCCCACTTTTGGGTGGGTTTCTGCCGTTTCCCTCTCCCCCCGCGTGGGGGAAGAGGGCCCGGAGGTGCCCGTGGAAGCACTTCTCGCCGCGGCCACGGTGCCTCGGCCTTCCCCGCAGCCCTGGCCCTCGCGTCAGCCCTTATCCCCGGGGGCAAAGCACGTGCAAAATACCCCGGTGAGGGAGGAGCGACGCGTCCAAGGACAGAGGTGGCCAGAAGCCGCGAGGAGGCAAAGCCAGGGCGGGCAAAAAAAAAAAAAAAAAAAAAAAAAAAGGAGAAAAAGACAAAAAAAAAAAAAAACCAAAACCAAAACCCAACAAACCCAAACGCACACGCAGACTTTGTTCTTTGTCACTCGGGAGAAACGTTTGGAAATATGTACAAAACCAACTCAAGGGCGCATCGGCTCGGCGGTTCCGTACCGAGTTTCCGCAAAGAGCCGATGCTAAAGAACAGGGGGGGGGGGGGAACCAAATCCTCGCGAAGAAAAACGCCTCTGCCAAAGCAGCATTTAACAAAATAGTTACTTTTAGAGACGGCGGCTCCTGCCCGCCACCCTGGGGGGGGTGCCCGACCTGCCCCCGGCCCGGCTCGCTGCGGGCGCCAGGTTGTCCGCCCGCGGGTGCCGAGGGGCAGGGGTTGTGCTGGGCACGGGAACGCTGGCTCTGAGGGCAGAGCCGAGATCACGCGGCAGTGGGGGACGCGCCGAAAACGTTCTGCTACACGCAAAACCCTCCCCACGTGTCCCCGTCCCCCCCCAAACAGGCTTCTGCCCACCCGACCTCCGGCTCTCCCCACCCCGGGGGTCTCCCCCCTGCCCCGTGGAGCCACGCCATCAGCTCCGAGCTGGCAGCAAGAGCTGCAAAAAAGCAGAAGAGGAAGAGCTCCCTGAACGTCCGGAGCTGCCCCTTCAAGTCTCAGCACCTGAAACTGCTTGTAAAAATAGGTTCTGAAATGCAAACAAAATGCGGAAAAAAAAAAAAAAAAAAATAAAAATTTATGCAAAAAATGGCAAAGTGTGCTTCTGAACGTTTCTATTGCGCCTTGGTCCGTGAGCGGTGTTTTATCAAAAACAGGGTGCAGAGTTGGGTGCCCGGGTGTCTGAGGGAAGGCCTGGGCAGGCCCGTGCCCGGCGGGTGCTGGGCCAAACCCGGGCGCTTCCCAAACCATCTCGCGAGGCGGCGGCGCTCGGGCGCGACGTCATCATAACAGCTTGCGGTGGAGGATTTCCCAGGCCATTCGCTTTCGGAAATAGGGCATGTGTTGCTTTTTTTTTTTTGGGGGGGGGGTGGGTGTAAAATAAAGAAGAGAAAGAAAACGTACATCAGCGTGCCTTTCCCTGCAGCTTTTCCCGCAGCGCCTTTCTTTGGGGGGGGGAATTTATTTTCTGATTATTGAAAACAAGACAGCGGATGAGATCTAGGTAATAAGGTCGCTCCGATGATGTGTATTCCCTAATAATGAGAAGCGAGATATTTGCACAGGGGGTGCTCCACGGAGGCTGCTGTCAACACCGAAATCCCCTGGCCTTCAGGGTACCAGCGCCCCACTGCCACTACCACCGTGGGCGAGCCCCACCCTGGGTTTGTGACCTTTCCCCAGCCACCCTGGGGGGGTGCCCCACGGGCCCGAGGGGGGCAGGAGACCCGCGGGTGGCTGCGGGGGGGGGGGACTGGCTTCGGCACCTCGCGCTGCGAGGAGCAGCGGTGCAGCCCCGACGCGGGCCGGGGGCACCCTCGAGCCCACGGGGGGCATTTGGAAAAAGCAGAAGGTGCGGGAGCGGGGGGCACGCGCCCGTGTGTCCCCCCCCCTCCGGGCACGAGGGGCCACGCCGGGGTGGGGTTTACCTGCGTGAAGTTGATGGGCTTGTCTTTGGTAATGCAGTCGGCGTATTTGCAGGCGAACATCCCGCAGTCGCTGCCGTTCATCTGCTGCGGGATCTCCTTGAAGGGGAGGACACAAACCCAAAGGTCATTTCCAGAGGAGCTGCTGGCCTGTCTGTGCGTGTGTCTGTCCCCCCCCCCTCACCCCACCCTTTCTCCAGCTTCTAAGGACGGGGAGCTCCACGTGAAGGACCTCTCTCAAACGAGCCCCAGCGAGGCCAAGCCCGCCCGGGCGGGCGGCCGCCAGCGCGAGCAAGGGGGGCTGAAGGCAGGGGGGTGGGCAGCAGGAGGGGAGGCGGCACTGGGGCACCCCCCACTCAGGAAAGTCTCCCCGCCAGGCTGGAGGGGATGGGCAGCAAAGCCACCTGCCACTGAAGATCTGGGCTCTGTTCACCACCAGAGCACGTCCGTCGGGAAAAGCAGCCAGGAAAGGTGCTGCTGGGTCAGCAAGAGACCCCCCCCCCCCCCCCCCCCCCCAAACCTCCCCCAAACCCACCTGACTCTTCTTACTCAGCAAGGACCAGCCATTAGTGTCGAACTCTTTCCTTTTCTTGTCAAGACTTTCCTGTTTTAGGTATTGCCTGGAGGAACGAGAGAACAAAGAAAGCTTACTTGGAGGGAACAGGGGAAACCAGCCAGTACACCGTACGTCAGTTTACCTAAGGTGTCCTCTGCCGTGTTTGCAGAATTCATGCAAAATGGAAGTCCAATATTTTCGTCTCAGTATTGGCCATTTTAAAAAGGGCTCTATAGACCCGGGCTTTGCGGCAGTCAAAAGAAGGACCAGGCAGAACTTAAGAACTCATCCAAAAAAAGTACCTGCCAAGCAGAGAGTCAAAACCACAAATAAACCGGGGAGAACAAATCTAATTCACCAGAGAGTGACTGGGGGCAGAGAAGAGCTTGGCAGGCACCGGGCTGCCTCCGCGGACCCCCGCAAGCCGCGCGTTAGACTCGAGGGGAGACTGATGGCGTCTGGTGATCCCGGGCCTCCGGCCTTTTGAGGCTTCTTACTTCGCGTGAAGGCAGACAGGAGCAAATTTGTCACAACCGTAACAGCATCCCAGCAGCTCTGGGACAAGCGGCCTGGGTGTAAAGCACCAAAAAAAAACCCACCACGAAGCTCCGCTCCCGGCTGGCGGCGGGTGCGGCTCGCTGGCAGATGCTCTCCTGCAGCTCTTCTCCCAGGTTCCCTTCCACACCTGGTTTGATTTCTTCTTGCCGCAGCAGAAGACAAACAGCAAGAGCTTTCAAGGAAGGGGGAGAATAGGGGAGATGACCCGGGGTTTTCCTCAAGAAAGGTCGGAGGCTTGGGGATGGAGGAGAGGCAGCCCCGGGAAAAGCCACCCCAGAGCCGTCTCCGAGATGCCGGTCCAGGGCCCGAGTGAAAGCGGGGAGCACGAGTGGGAGAAGGGGCCAGCCGTGGTGGGGGTGGGTCGTCCAATACCTCTCAGAAGCCTTCAGCAGAAGGGAAAGAGTTAGAGGCAGGCCCATCCCAGCTCCTGGAAGCGGAGAAGGCGGCAAGCTCACCGCTACTGGCCCATCTCCTCTGCCCGGAGCGGCTTCCACCGGTTTGGCCTAAATCAAACCACTGGGAGAAGAGAAAATTGGGTGGCTTTTTTTTTTCCTGCCTCCTTGAAAAAGTTTAGGAACGCCACCAAGATCATGCCCGAAGCACGCCCAGGCAACTGCCACGCGTTTTCTTCTGTGGATGTGAACACCTCGAACCCTTCCCTTCGCCGGGAAGCACCAAAAAGGGGGTTCAGGAAGGAGACGTCCAGGTGGACCAGAGGGAGCCGAGGCAATGGGCCCAAGACTTTCTTAATGTCCCTAAAGAAGCCCCTCTCTGGTGGCTGCCAGCGCTGTTCAGTGACATTCAGCTCTGCAGACACCTACTGCTCATCTTGGTCGCCAAAAAGATCAGGGAGATCTACAGCAACCACCTCCTTCGCGCTTGGCATCTTCTCAAAAGAGCCCTGGGACTGTCGGGGCTGGGGTCAGAAAGTTTGGAAAGGAGAAGCGGAGGATTAGATGCTGCTGGCTCGAACGGAGCGGGTCACGGGAGCATCTGGCACGGAGAGGGAGGGAGGCTTGGCCGCCAAGGCGGGGAGACGTGCCATCTTTGGGAAATTGGATCCAGAAAGACCCGGCTAAATCGCATCTTGCTGTTAGTAAACGCCGAGGGGAGAGGGGGGCGATGCCACCCGCAGACAAGCCCGGAGGACGCAGGGTTGGACTCGCTGCCCTGCTGCCAGCCAGGGGATTTTCTCCATCGTAACTCCAAAGAACTACTCAAATAAGAGAAACCTCTCCCAGGCCGAAGAGTCCCTGAAAGACCCGGGGGGCCACTGAACAAAGGCCCCCACGTGGCAGCAGAACGACCCAGCGGCCTCGGAACGTGAGGCCAGCCCCTTCCCAGTGATCGCGTCCCTGGAAAAAAGAGCCAGAAATCGGCTTTGCTGGATGTAAAAGTGTCAGGGAGGGGAGCCTCGCTCCTGGCAGACCCCCCCGAGACCAGATCAGGTCCAGACAAGCGTTTTCCATCAGCCTTCATTAGCGGGACACGCGCTCCCAGCCCAGTTCCCCAGCACTGGGTCCGCTGGCTGCCAGCGCCTGCTGTAATTGCTCTTGGGGAGCTTCTCCGCTTGGCCGCTTCGACTCGGCTGCCGCTTGGACAGGACAGAATCAGCAGGGGGGAAATCTCAGGGCAAAAAAAAAAATAAAATAAAATAAAAATGTCCTTTCACTGAGCAGAGAAGTCTCCATGTCTCATCTCCAAAAATAAAACCTCACGGACGGAGAAGCAACTCCCTGCAAGGAGTTCAAAATGAGGGCGAGCTGAGCCTCCGCCACGGTGGCCGGAGGAAGGGAGCGGATTATCTGCGCCACAGGACAAACGTGGTGAAGACAGTCGTTAATTAACGGCTTCAACTGCAATTAAAAAAATAAAAATAAAAAAAATCATCCTGGCAATCCCTGCCTACTACAGCCGAATCCCCCGCTAAAAAAAAAAAAAAAAAAAAAAAAATAAATATAGCAGCGGCACACAGCCCACGCTCTGTCGTGCCCGCCGGAGCTGTGCCGATAAATGACAGGACGCATCACAGGGGACCCGTGAGGCTCAAACGGGGCCGGAGCTTCCGCGAGTAAAGCGATGGGGCGGCTTCAGCCGGTCCAGATTTATCCCCGAGCCGCAGCTGCAGTGCCGACACGCGCGCAGCCGCCGGGTTTCGAGCCGTTTTCTAGAAGAGAGAGGGAATAAACCACCGGGCGCGCTTCAGGCTAACCGGGGCCGTCACGGCCAGCCTGCCCCGGGCCACCGGCGGGCACGCCGTGTAAGAAACCCAGCACCAATCCTGCCTCGGAAACGGCCGGGGCCACCTCTGAGGAGGGGGCTGGGAGAAAATGCCTTGACTCCAAACCGCGAGACAACTTCGGGAGGCAGCACTTCATTAACGAACTTGGTCGGTATCTCAAGGAGAGAAAGCTCCACGCGGGATTTTTAAGCGGAACTTACACACCCGACCGAATCCTGACATGCCCGAGGTGCCCCGTCAAACCCTGCGGGCTTTTCATCTCCTTTTCCTAAATCTGAAAATGGGTTTTTGCTTTCTACAGCGCTTACTTATGCAAAAACCTGCCCAGGCGCCTCAGGGAATTGCTGAAATCAACTCCACAGCGTCCTGCTAAATGTCTGAGAGCCTCGAAGTAAAGGGCACCCAAAGGTAAGCATTTCAAGCGCTGCTGCTCGCAGGAGATAAGAAGATTTCACAGGCATGAGTCGCCTTGTGCGCTCTATCCCCTCAGCTCTTCTCCGGCCTTGCGCCGCTAGAATCAAGTCTGAAACCGATTCTCACAGGTTGATTTACACCTGCTCCAAAACACAGACCCTTGCAGCAGAGCTGAGACACCGAGCGCTGCGTTTCCTCCAAGGAGAAACCCACCCCCCCCCTTCCCCCCCCAAAAAAAAAAACCAAAACCAGAGGCAGCTTTCTTCAAATCCTCTCCAGCTCTCACACTCAAGTGGTGTGGAAAGTCCAGATGCTGAAACAAAGCATGGCAGCCTCCAAACCACGAACAGCCGTGGTCCCTCCTCGCTCCTAGCCCAGCCACGGACCTTGTGTTTAATCGGTTGCCTTCCCCGTGCCTCAGTTTCCCTCCTCTAAGGCCTGGCTAACGGCAGGGCACTCACCACCTTTAGGAAGCTCTAACGATTGAAAGCATGAAAGGGTCACTAACCATGAATAGGACCTCCGTCCCTTCTTCCCGGTGTGATCCTCCCACTGCATTCAACCAATAAAAGCCTCCTAAAAGGAAACAGAGGGAAAACAATTACGTCCAGGGCAACAGTGACCTGAAATCCTGGCTCTCCACCACTCACCCCGAGTGGCCAAAACACCTGACATCCTCTGGTGCTCTCTACCCACCGGCGTGGGGACCTGCTTCCTCGTCCCGGACCCCTAAACGAACCACGGGCAGGACTCCCGGGTCCCACCTCTCACCTCACATTCCTCGGGATCAAAAAATTTCAGGCGGAAAGGAACGGATTTCGCCCAGCCTATCCCTGCCCCAAGGCAGGCCAGCTCTGCTCGCACAGCTCTCGAGCACAGAGGCAGAAGCCACACAGTGAAACGAAGAGACGCTGCCCTGAGCCATTGCCAAAGATTTTATACTTTTCCTTTTCCTATCCCTTTCGACCAACGTCAGGCCAGTGTGGAAAAGGGAAACAGCTGGTTTTTTTTCTACAGTTATTTAAATGAACCCGGTGCACGCGGACCGCAAAGCACCCCAACTGGAAAACAAAGGTGCTAAACGGACTGGAAATGGCATCTGTCTGCTGCCTGTCCTTATCGGTATGCACATTCCTCGACTGACTGAGTGACACCTCCGCTGACATACTCAACCCCATGCCAGAAGACTCGGGATCAGGTTCCCAAGTCAGTGTCGGAGCGGAGCCGAGATGAGAAGCAGAACCGACGGCCGACCCAGGGTCAACGCAGGAACGACAGAGGAGCTGGCGACCGCGTTTTGAAAATCCCTTGGCGATGTGATTTGTACCAAGCCTGACGGCCCTACGTGACTGGGGACCTGGGAAAAGAGGGGCTTTCTGCACCCCCGCCCGGAGAGCAGCTCCTTTTTAAATCGCACTCCGGTCAGGAGCAGCTTCCCAACGTGGGACGACAGTTCTGGGTTGGACATGCAGGCACCTCTCCCTCCTGCCAAGAGCTCGGAGAGTAGGCAGCCAGCTCCGCTCCCTCCCGGGGCGTTGCTCAGGATGGGAAAACCAAGACCTCGCCTGCAGTTTGAGCCCAGCAAGAACCAACCAGCTTTCACCCAGCTCTGGTTTGGAGGCACGGCACACTCGGCAAAGAGACCCGGGCAGACCTTTATCCGTGCCCTGATGCAAGAGACGCTCCCACGCCCTGCACCTCCCACCGCGCTCTCCAGAATCTCCTCGAAACAAAGGGCCAAGCCACTGAGCTGATCTCTGCCAGGGGCAGGGAAAGCTCCCACCTGGGGGAAAGGGGCCAGGAGACGGCCGTTTCTTCAAGCAGCTGCAGGGCAAGGGAAGGACCCCATCCCTCGGGGGTTTTCCTCTCAAAGATGGTGCCCAAGAGGCCTGTAAGACTCGCAAAGCCCGATGTCCTTAACAGAACAGGTCTGAAACCTGTCTCTACCCACGAAGACGACACCAGCCTCACCGACAGATCTTCTGGGCAGAGGTGAAGGCAGGGCACCGGCACGGGCCTCCCGCAGACCAGCTCTGCCCCTGCGGACCGCGTCGGCAGCGCGCGGCCAAACACGAGGTGGGATGCGCCTCCGAATCCTCCTGGCGGGACCCAGGAAGGGACCGGCCGGTTTTTAAGCAGGCACAACTCAAATGAGCGCTACTCACAACAGTATCCTGCAGGCTTCGCTGTTTATTCCACCCATGGAGTCATAATAGGTGATGGTTTTTTTCCTGAAGTCTACAACCTACACAAAGAGAGATTCGTTAATGACGCGCAACGCGAGGAGCTCCGCTCTTTGCCCGGACACACACTCTGCCGACAGAAAGCAGCAAGTTTAGCCCGTTTCACAGCAGAGATGGATTTTAGGGGACTTCCACCACCCTCGGCACAGCCCTCCCCAAAATCCCCCCTTGCTGCTGCTGTTATTTAACCGCTCGCATCTCTAAATCAGGCTCTCCTCAGAGCGGCCCGCTAAGACACAAGAGCACTCTGTTGTCCTTATTGTTAAACCCGCAGGCAGGTAGGTTTACAGAGGCTTTGCTCCGCCTGACGTGTGCATAACCCAGCAGCCCAAACCACGAGTCCCCCAGGTGGGTTTCGGGGGCCCCGCGCCCCCTTTCCACACCGCCGCCCACCCAGGCGAGCCCCGCCTTGCCGGGCAGCCTGACAACCCCAGGGGGAGGTTTGAGCGAAGGAGGCCGAGGCAGGTTTAAAACCCACGGGCGATCTGTGACCGCGGAGGGGCCAGCAGCCAAGAGAAGGGACGGAGCAGATCGGGGGCAGGGGGGAGAGAAAGCTGCGCGGTATCTGTCATCTCAATCTCTCCAAAACGATCCCGGGGCAACGTCTCTAAAGGTGAGTTTGTGGGAACGTGGAAACAAGATCCTCCTCTGGAGAATGAGCCGGCCTAACGTGACCTTCCCAGCTGTCTGGTTTTTCTTTAAAGCCTAGAAACGCACCAAAAAGTCGCAGCTATCTTTTTACTCACTCCAGGCTTTGAGTTTAGCCACAAACACAACGTTTTCCCCCCTCGTGCAGACACCTGACAACCGCGTCGGCTCAAAAGCCATGAAATTTTAGCCTCAGCCAGGTGGGTTTATAGGACAGCCTGCTCCAGCTACGCCCTGCTGGGAGTAACCAAAGCACTCACTGCTAGGCACCAATGCACTCCCAGGTGAATAGGCACCAGGAGGAGATCCACCGAGAAGATATCCACTTTTTTAGTCCACCGTTTCACCGCTTGGTACCCCGCCGTTTTTAATTTGGTAAAGAAGAAAGTATTGAACGCGTGAACCGCCGGCAAACCCTTCTCTTTGCTCCGCTCCATCAGCAAATTCATGTAGAAATTAATTATCTGGGAAAGAAAAAGCATCCAGGACACGTTAGTGCGGTGACACCTCTGGGTAAGGTGCTCTGCCCCTGTGTGAAAGTAAGAAATTGGGTTTGCCTCTTCCCGTCCCCAGGGGGATTTACAACAGCTCAACCGCCCCGAAACCTTCAAAAATCCAGAAAGATGTAGGAATGCAGCCTTCTACATTTATTTAATTTTGCTCTTGTTCCCCCCTTGATCACATCCAGGGTCAGGTCCACTCCTCCCAACACTATTTCTTCAAGCGTCTGGTCTACACCGGGGTTTCTCCTCAGATTAACTGCTCCAAAGCGCGACCTACAGCCCACACCGACTATTCACCCCCCGACTGCTTTCAGCACGGAGAAGGCAGACGCGTTTATTCACTCCAACCGACTTCAAGCTGCCGAAGAAAAACGTCCGAACGACCCAAGGTAGCGGCTCCTCACCTCATCATTGAGCCAGTTCAGATTGTTGAGGGTCTGAATGTCCTTCCGAGTGATTGTTAACCGAAAAGCTTCGCTGAGGACCTCATCCTGGTTCCCGCCTCGGAACACGTTCTTTATTTCCTTTTCCATTTCCTACGGGAAGGACACAGACAGCACTGGAAGGGAGAGTCCCTGCTGCTCCCGTCAGAAAGGCTGGATTCAAACCCCGGTTTATTCGTTGCCCCTCGAAGGATAAACTCGCAAAAATCACATTCATCTTTACATCTTTTACGCAGGCAAGCGTCTGCCTGCGCCCGCCGGATCCAAGCAGCCCTACCTCAGTGATTTCAGGGAACTCCTCTTCGCCGTCGGCTGACTTGGCATCCTCCTTCTCTTCCGGGACCACCGTGACAGGGATTTCCTTCTCAAGGGGTACTCGAAGATTTAAATCCACCAGATCCTGCACCGAATGTTCCTGCTCCTGCAACCGCTGAAGGAGAAGGCCTTTAGGTTAGGTGGCGCCCGACGGAGTCGCCTCGTGAGGGAGCTACGTGGGGGGCCAGTTGTTCCTGGAGGTGCAGAAAGGGCCACGGCGCGGGGAACGTCCATCCCGGCCACGACACCACCCAGAGGGAAGGGGAGGCAACGAAGACACCAGACCCCAAAGGAGTCCACTTTTGTCATTCTCCCCTTTCCAATTTGCTTTCTACCCCGGGGTTATACCGTTCGGGCTTGCAAGGGCCGCTCCTCCAGTAACCCCTCCCCGTTACCTGGCTTTGCAGCTGTAAGGCCAGCGCTTTCTGCTCTTCAATTTGCCGCCACCTCTCCCGAGCTCGCGAATCGTAGACGCTGGTCCTGAAAAGCCCAGTTCACGTGAGCAAACGGGCGGTTTATTTCTACACGCGAACACTGGCGACGAGAAAACAGAGCGGAAAACATGTACTTACAGCTCTTTGATCCACAGTTCTGCCTGGAAGAACGGGAGGCTAAAACGGGGAGAAAGGACAGGTGTAAGCGCTCGCCTTCACGCGGAAAGAAAGAAATTGCCTGAAAAGTGATTCGTGAGTGTTGTCTGAGGACAGCCCTCCTGCCAGAGCCCGGTCTCACGAAAGAGGTTTGATGCGTCACGCTCACGTTCCTGTAACTGCAGCAAACTGCTCTCTCTCCACGAGACGTTCAGAAAGCCACTGGCCACCTCCTGCTCTGCAGTCTCACCTCTCCCGTGGAACTAAAAGCTAGTGTGACCCACCCCTTCCCTCTAGATATCGTTTTAGAGCCTCTTACCTTGGTGCTGGGGTTCTGGAATCCTTTACCTTGAGCAAAATGACAGAGTCTGACCCTAAAAAAAGAGTAAAGTTTATGGAATGTTGTGTTCCTCACAGTTACCACCCACCCCCACGACTGCTGCAGGAGGCCAGAGAAAGAGGGGGAGGGAAAAAGCAGCTCCGCCACATACGTTTTAAGCTGGTTGCCAGGTTTTGGGGTTTTCCTTTCGGGTTTGGTTTTTGGTTGGTTGGGGTTTTTTTTTGTTTTGTTTTTTTTTGTTTTTTTTTTTTTTACCTTCAGACTGCACGTTAGATGCTGGTAGATTTTCTTGGCAACGCTGGGCTGTGGAGTTACCGGACTCAAAGATATTGGGGGGATAGCTGGGGGCGGAGTAGAGCGACGGTTTGTGCGGCGGCTGCTCCGGCGCTCCCAGAACGCCGGCCGCGGCGGGCGCAGCGCCGTGAGCTTCAAACAGCTTCGAGTTCTTGCTGGGAGCTTCCTTCGCCACGGTTTTGCCCGAATTCGAACACCTGGATCTAGGAACAACAGAAAGCAAGTTCCCGGCGAACAAACGTGGCGCTGCCGGCTGGGGAAGAGCGTTTCACATACTCACAGGTGGAAGGGGAAGAGCGAGGAGGGCTTGGACGTGGAAAACTGCTTTCCTGTGACCATCTGAAGCAACTGCCTGTAGATCTCCCGCTCTTCCTCTCGAACAGTCTGCAGGGAAACAACCAGGTGTGTCTAAGCCCGCGTGATTTCAACGCGGGCACCGTGAGCAGCCAGCAGGTGCACGGGGAAGCAGAGGTTTTATGGGCGGGAGCGCGTTCCCAGGGGTCTTGAAGAGTTCAGCCACCGGCCTCGATCGCACCAACGGCAGCTGAGGTCTGAACGGGAGCAGAGCTGAAGCCGGTTCCGCCCGGCGGGAGCAGCGAAGCCAGCACGAGGCAGTCGGTTCGAGCCGCCTCAAGCGCCCCGAAGGGTTCTCCTCCGAAAGAACCGCCCACCGCACGCTCTCCCGGCCTTTCCTTTACCTCTTCCGCCGTGCTGACGAACCGCCGGGGAGTCTTCTTGGGGCTGAGCAGGCTGCGGCGACACGGGCCGCTCCAGGAAGGGCTCTGAGCGGGTTTGATCGGAAAAGCCGACGCATGGCAATGGTGGTTGGATTTTCCCACGAAGCTGTTGGACGTCCCGCTGCGAGGAGAGAAAGGAAACGCTTCCGCTCGACTTTGTGCGCGTCCGGACCCGCCATCGCGTCGTGTCCCCCCCTCCCCAGCCTCAAAACCCACCCGAGAACCAGGCTACCCACCCGAGAACCAGGCTACCCACCCGAGAACCAGGCTACCCACCCGAGAACCAGGCTACCCACCCGAGAACCAGGCTACCCACCCGAGAACCAGGCTACCCACCCGAGAACCAGGCTACCCACCCGAGAACCAGGCTACCCACCCGAGAACCAGGCTACCCACCCGAGAACCAGGCTACCCACCCGAGAACCAGGCTACCCACCCGAGAACCAGGCTACCCACCCGAGAACCAGGCTACCCACCCGAGAACCAGGCTACCCACCCGAGAACCAGGCTACCCACCCGAGAACCAGGCTACCCACCCGAGAACCAGGCTACCCACCCGAGAACCAGGCTACCCACCCGAGAACCAGGCTACCCACCCGAGAACCAGGCTACCCACCCGAGAACCAGGCTACCCACCCGAGAACCAGGCTACCCACCCGAGAACCAGGCTACCCACCCGAGAACCAGGCTACCCACCCGAGAACCAGGCTACCCACCCGAGAACCAGGCTACCCACCCGAGAACCAGGCTACCCACCCGAGAACCAGGCTACCCACCCGAGAACCAGGCTACCCACCCGAGAACCAGGCTACCCACCCGAGAACCAGGCTACCCACCCGAGAACCAGGCTACCCACCCGAGAACCAGGCTACCCACCCGAGAACCAGGCTACCCACCCGAGAACCAGGCTACCCACCCGAGAACCAGGCTACCCACCCGAGAACCAGGCTACCCACCCGAGAACCAGGCTACCCACCCGAGAACCAGGCTACCCACCCGAGAACCAGGCTACCCACCCGAGAACCAGGCTACCCACCCGAGAACCAGGCTACCCACCCGAGAACCAGGCTACCCACCCGAGAACCAGGCTACCCACCCGAGAACCAGGCTACCCACCCGAGAACCAGGCTACCCACCCGAGAACCAGGCTACCCACCCGAGAACCAGGCTACCCACCCGAGAACCAGGCTACCCACCCGAGAACCAGGCTACCCACCCGAGAACCAGGCTACCCACCCGAGAACCAGGCTACCCACCCGAGAACCAGGCTACCCACCCGAGAACCAGGCTACCCACCCGAGAACCAGGCTACCCACCCGAGAACCAGGCTACCCACCCGAGAACCAGGCTACCCACCCGAGAACCAGGCTACCCACCCGAGAACCAGGCTACCCACCCGAGAACCAGGCTACCCACCCGAGAACCAGGCTACCCACCCGAGAACCAGGCTACCCACCCGAGAACCAGGCTACCCACCCGAGAACCAGGCTACCCACCCGCGACCAGGGAGGAGGCTTTTATCGGCGCGTTGAAAGCCGAAGCCTGGCTCTCCCTCAGCTCGATCCGGGGCCTGTGCGGCCGAGCGGATGCCGGCAGGTGGCACTGCGAGGCCGAGGAGCCGCAGCCTGGAAACCCCCCCCCCCCCCCGCCAGACCTTCCCGCCAGATCCACCAGCTTCCACCCACGCCCCACAAGATGGCTGCACCTCTCCCCCGCAGCCACCGCTCTCGCCCTTTTTCGTTCACCCGCACCAGCGGATTCCCTCCCTCGCCTCGCCTCTCCCCACTTCCCACGCTCAGGGCTCCCCTAACGGCTCACGAAAAAAAAAAAAAAAAAAAAAAATACGCGAGGCGGTCCGGCCTTTCTCTCGTTGAAATTAATTTTCCCTATTTTGCAAACAAACGTCGGCCACCGTGGGGATTTTCCGGAGCCACAGACGTGACCCGCTCTGGAAAGGTCTGAAGCGACACAAGTTTATACCAGCTGCAAAACCAGCCCCTGCCCCCAGCACCTCTTGCACTAACCAGCAGGTTTTCATCCCAAAACGACGTGTTATCTCTCCCTGCGTCTCGACGACGTTCCCGTTCACACCCCAGCACTCCTGACACACTCCAAACCAACCCGGGAAGCCGCCAGGTTCTGTGAGAGGCAGGTTACGCCACGCTGCACCCTCCCAAAACCAGCGCTCGCGCCCTTCACCACGCACCTTCACCACGGGGGGGGTTTATAAACGCAAAAAAGGCACCTACGGCCCCCAGCCAACCTCGATCCACGCAACTATTTCCACCCTGAATTCACTCCGTCTTGCTACCAAGGGGGTGAGGGGGTAAAAACCCCTGTGTGAAGTTCCCCCCAGGGCTCCGTGGCGGGGAGCTGGACGCACCTGGGGTTTTTGCGAGCTTCAAGGTAAGAGCCTCGGCTCATCCTCGGCTTCTGCGGCGCGGAGCCCAGCGGGGGAACCAAGCCCCTCCACTGCCCGTTGGCGCTGGAACCGAAGGCTCGAGGCTCCCCCGCTGCCCGGTAGCTCTCGGGGCAGGGGACTTCTGCAAGGGAGAAACACGGCAGCAGTCAAGAAAGAGCCGCGTCTCCCTCCCCGGGCTGCCGAGGGGAGGGAACAGCCACAAAACCTGAGACCCCGGGGCAGAAAACGCGGCTTTACCTGGGCTGTAATTGAGAGTGCAGGACGCATTTCCAGCGGGGCAAGCGAAACCGCTGATCTTGTTGGGTAAAAACTGTGTGAAAGGATGGCAGGTTTTTGTGAGAAGAAAGCGCAGCTCCATCTTAAAACGCCAGGTGTAATAAAACCACGGGGGTAGGTAAAAAGTTAACACACACCCCCCCCCCCCCAGGGTCCCGTCATTATAAATTAGTAATTAGTGAAGCAGAGCGGTGCAATAACAGGTCTGACACGCAGCCGAAGCGTGGCTCGCTCTCCCAGCCCTTCCCAAAACCCGCTCTGCCCCGTGCGACGCGAGGTGAGAAACGCTGTCCTCACGACAGGGCAGAAAAAAAAAAAAACAACAACAAACCCCCAAAATTATGAACTGCAGGGCTCCGCCGGGACGCAAGCCCGCGCGACACCCACGCGTGGGTTCCCCACCCACGGATCCCGCGTCTTCACTTCGGTTTCCCACGGCGGCTGGGAGCGAAGGGAGTTTGCGGCAACGCGGGGCCGGCGGGACGGGGCCCGAGGAACCACCCGGCCGGTTTGGAACTCGAGGCCGGGGGGACACGGGACCCCCCCCGGGAAGGGGAAAAGGGAGTCGGAGAAGCCCCCAGCCCCCCCGCAGCAGGTGTGTGTGTGTGTCCCCCCCCGGGGAGCGGGGCCGCCCGCCGCAGCACCTTGCCGGGGGGCTGGGGGAGCGGGGCGCGCCGGGGAAAGGCCTTGAAGCCGGAGCCGGGGTCGGGCCGCGCCTCCATCCTCATGGGGGGCGGCGGGGGGGAGGCGGAGCCGCCGGCAGCACCCCCCCCCCCCCCCCAACCCCCGGGGGGCGGCGGGGCTGAGGCGATGCCGGGCTGGAGCGGGGAGCGGCGGCGGCCACGCCGGTTTTTCCTTCTAAAAGCGAAACTAAGGAGGAGAAAAAACAACCAAAAAAAAAAAAAAAAAAAAAAAGAGAAGTGAGGAAGAAGCCCGGCCCCGGCGGGCGGGGGGAGAGGCCGGCGGCACCGGGCGAGGCCTCCCGGGACCCACCGGGACCCGCCGCCCCCCACCCCTCCCTGCCCCGTCCGTACCGGAAGCGGAAACAGCCCCGACGGCGCGCGCGCCTTTCCCGGGCTCGGTGGCGGCGGCCGGCAACGAGGCGGCCGGAAGCGGAACTCGCCGCTGACGGAAGTGACGTGAAGGGGGCCGAGGGAGACCGGAGGGGGAGGGGAGAAGCGGGTCGGGGGCAGCGCATGCGCTGTAAGCGGCGGGGCGGGATGGGGAGGGCGCCCCCTGGCGGCGCGGAGGTCCCGGGGTGGCGTGGGTGGACAGTGACCCCCTATAGCGTGTCCCCTATGGGGGGGGGATCACCCTGTGGGGATGTGTCACCCTATAGTGGGTGTCACCCTATGGGGGGGGGGGCCGCTGTGGGGCACTGTCACCCTGCAGCGTGTCACCCTAAAGGGGGGGGTGTGGGGTGCCGTCACCCTATAGGGTGTTCCCCTATGGGAATGTGTCACCCTACAGGGTGTCACCCTACGGGGGCTCACGCTGTGGGGCTGTGTCACTCTATGGGGTGTTCCCTTATGGGGCAGTGTGTCCCCATGGGGGTAGCCGACCCCGTTCCAGCTGATCCTGTTACACCTGATCCCGTCACAGCTGCTCCCGTTACAGCCGGTCCCGTTACAGCCGACCCCGTTACAGCCGATCCCATTACAGCCGATCCCGTTACAGCTTGTCCCTGTGGGTGCTCCTGCTCCAGCTGATCCCATTATAGCTGGTCCCTATAGCTGACCCCATTACAGCCGATCCTGTTACAGCTGATCCCTACAGCCAATCCCATGACAGCTGATCCCATTACAGCTTCTCCCTATGGATACTCCTGCTACAGCTGATCCCGTGACAGCCGATCCCATTACAGCCGCTCCTGTAACAGCTGGTCCCGGTGGGCACTCCCATTACAGCTGATCAATCCCATTACACCCGGTCCCTGAGGGTGCTCCTGCTACAGCCACTCTCCTTCCAGCCAATCCCGTTACACCCGATCCCATTCCAGCCAATCCCATTGCTGCCGCTCCCATTCTAGCTGGTCCCTACAGCCCATCCCATTACAGCTGCTCCCATTCCAGCCGCCCCCGTTACACCCAATCCTGTTCCAGCCGCCCCCGTTACACCCGATCCCATTCCAGCTGTTCCCATTACACCTGATCCCTTTCCAGCTGCCCCCATTACACCTGATCCTGTTCCAGCTGCTCCCATTACACCTGATCCTGTTACACCCGATCCCGTTCCAGCTGCTCCCATTACACCCGATCCTTACACCCGATCCCATTCCAGCTGCTCCCATTACACCTGATCCTGTTACACCCGATCCTGTTCCAGCTGCTCCCGTTCCAGCCACCACCGTTACACCCGATCCCGTTACACCCGATCCCGGGTGACCGCGGCTCCGGGCGCTGGTGACCGTCCCCCCGCTCCCCCCCGAGCTCTCCCGGCCCCTTGTCTCAGCCGCGCTCTCCCCAGCCGCCATCCTCCTCTTCCTCACCTTCCTCCCCCCCGCCCCGAGGCGGGGGGCGCCCCCCAGGCCAGTGCCCGCTGGTACCAGCGGGGAGGGCACACTGGTACCCGTAGTGTGTACAGACTGGTGCCAGCAAGCAGGGTAGGCAGGTACCAGTAAGGAATATGGCCTGGTACCTGCAGGGAATACAGACTGGCACCAGTAACGACAGACCGGTACCAGTAAGGAATGTGGACTGGCACCAGCAAGGAGGGTGGACTGGCACCAGCAAGGAATATGGACTGGCACCAGTAAGGAGGGTGGACTCGCACCAGTAAGGAATACAGACTGGCACCAGTAAGGAATATAGACTGGCACCAATAATGAATTCAGACTGGCACCAGCAAGGAATATGGACTGGCACCAGTAATGAATATGGACTGGCACCAGTAATGAATATGGACTGGCACCAGCAATGAATATGGACTGGCAGCAGTGAGGAATACAGACTGGTACCAGTAAAGAATATGGACTGGCAGCAGTGAGGAATACGGACTGCCAGCAGTGAGGAGGGCTGACTGGTACCTGCAGGGAATACGGACTGCCAGCAGTGAGGAATACGGACTGGCAGCAGCGAGGAATACAGACTGGTACCAGTGAGGGGGGCTGACTGGTACCCGCAGGGAATACGGACTGGTACCAGTAAGGAATACGGACTGGCAGCAGTGAGGGGGGTGACTGGTACCCGCAGGGAATACGGACTGCCAGCAGTGAGGAATACGGACTGGCAGCAGCGAGGAGGGCTGACTGGCACCAGCAATGAATTCAGACTGGCACCAGTAATGAATATGGACTGGCACCAGTAAGGAATACAGACTGGCATCAGTAAGGAATATGGACTGGCACCAGTAAGGAGGGTGGACTGGTACCAGTAAGGAATTCAGACTGCCAGCAGTGAGGAATACGGACTGGCACCAGCAAGGAATATGGACTGGCACCAGTAAGGAGAGCTGACTGGTACCAGTAAGGAATTCAGACTGGCAGCAGCAATGAATATGGACTGGCAGCAGTGAGGAATATGGACTGGGAGCAGTGAGGGGGGCTGACTGGTACCTGCAGGGAATACAGACTGGCAGCAGTGAGGAATACGGACTGGCAGCAGTGAGGAATATGGACTGGCACAAGTAAGGAGGGCTGACTGGTACCAGCAATGAATTCAGACTGGCAGCAGTGAGGAATACGGACTGGCAGCAGTGAGGGGGGTGACTGGTACCTGCAGGGAATACGGACTGGTACCAGTAAGGAATACGGACTGGGAGCAGTGAGGGGGGTGACTGGTACCCGCAGGGAATACGGACTGCCAGCAGTGAGGAAGACGGACTGGCAGCAGCGAGGAGGGCTGACTGGCTCCATGCCGGGGAGGGGACACCCCCACCCCCCGGTGCTGCCCCTCCCCCGGGGGCCCCATTTAGGGGCCGGCGGGCAGCGGGTGCCAGTCTGCGGGTGCCACCGGCCCAGGGGCCACCTCACCGCCCTCCCACCCATCTTTGCCCGATTTTCCTCTTTTTTCCAGCCGAGAAGATGGCACAGCCGCTGCGGGGCCAGGGCCACGCCGAGAACCTGGGCGCCGGCAAAGCCATCGCCGTCCTCACCTCCGGGGGGGACGCCCAGGGTAAGGGGGGACACCCCGGTGACCCCGCAAAGCGGCGGCTGCGCGAGGGGCGAGCCCCGTTTTGGGGGGACACCAGGGGAAAACGGGTCTTTAGCGGCCAAATCCCGCAGGTGGTCGAGTTGCTCGAGCGTTTTTTTGTTCTCTGGGTTGCGGTTTCGGGGGGTGACCTTGGGGGGAACTGTGGGGGGGGAGGAAGCTGTGGGGTAGAGTTAAGGGGAGTTTTGGGGTGCGGGGGGGGTCTGGGTGCCAGAATTGGGGGGTGGGGGGGGGGGGGGTGTTTCAAGGGACGGTGGCAGCGCTCGAGCACGAAGCCGCCGCCACGCCACTGTTGGGGTTGCCTGAATCCGCAGAGATTCAGCCCAAAGCTTGTTCTCTGCTTGGGTGGAATGGGGTGGGGGGGTACCCCTGTTTCCCAGTTTGGGGGGGGGGGGGCTCTTCCAGTTTGTGAGGGGTGCCTGCTTGGCTTCCTTCCCCCCCCCCCGGGCACTTGTCACCCGGTGTCATGCGGTGCCGCTGTTAAATGTCAACGGGGCAAAAATAACCCGGGCAGCTGCGGGGCCAGATCCGCGCTGGGGGGGGGGGGGGGGGCTGAGCCTGGCTGCGGGGGGAAACGATGGTTTTTGGGGGTCCCTGGGGGTGTGTAGGGGGGGGATCTTCCACCCCACCCCCCCCCCCAGCCGCCTCGGGGTGACGCTCTCCTCCTCCCCCAGGCATGAACGCGGCCGTCCGTGCCGTGGTGCGGGTGGGCATCTACACCGGCGCCAGGGTCTACTTTGTGCATGAGGTGGGCGCCGACACCCCGATTTTCCCAGGCCCCCCCCCCCCCCCCAAACTCAGGAGGGGCGAGGGGGTCTTCTTTTTAACACCGGGTTGCGTGTCCGTGTGTGTGTGTGTCCCCCTCCCAGGGGTACCAGGGGCTGGTGGACGGTGGGGACAACATCAAAGAGGCCACGTGGGAGAGCGTCTCCATGATGCTGCAGCTGGTGAGCGGTGGCTGAGCACGGCCAGCTCGGTGCACCGATGGCGGGGGCCAAAGCGGGGCGTAAGGTGTAACCCTACGCCGGGTCAAGCCTGAAAATAACCCGAAACCGGAGCCGGGAGAAGCAGGGGGAGGGATGGACATAGGGGTGCTGGGGGGGGGGGGGAGCACCCAGCACCCACGTGGGGGTCCCGCAGGGGGGCACGGTCATCGGCAGCGCCCGGTGCCAGGATTTTCGGACGCGCGAGGGACGCCTGAAAGCCGCCCGGAACCTGGTGAAACGCAGCATCACCAACCTCTGCGTCATCGGCGGCGACGGCAGCCTCACCGGCGCCGACACCTTCCGAGCCGAGTGGAGCAGCCTCTTGGGCGAGCTGGTCAAAGTGGGTACGTGCGTGGGCGGCCCCCACTCCCACGGGAGAAACACACACACCCCGCACCCCCCCCCCCCCCTCCAAAATTTCATCTGCGGGGTGAAAACGGGGAGGTTTGTACCAAAATCAGGGCTGGGCCGTACAGAAAAAGGTGGGGGGTTGGGTTGGTTTGGTTTTTTTTTTGCCCACGCGGGAGGTTTGTGTTGGTGTTTGGCCCCGTGGGGGGACCTTTTGGGGGGGGGCGCAGTGGGAAAAAGGGGGTGTCCCGCCCCGCGGCAGGGGGGATCACGGCGGAGGAGGCCAAGAAGTCGAGCTACCTGAACATCGTGGGCATGGTGGGCTCCATCGACAACGACTTCTGCGGCACCGACATGACCATCGGCACCGACTCGGCGCTGCACCGCATCATGGAGATCGTGGACGCCATCACCACCACGGCGCAGAGGTGACAGGGACACCCCCCACGCCGGAGGAAGGGGGGGACGGGGGACACGGGTGACCCCCCCGACGTGTCCGCACCCCACTCGGGTTTGCCGTGGGGTGAAACTCCCGTCTCCCACACAGCCACCAACGGACCTTCGTGCTGGAAGTGATGGGTCGCCACTGCGGGTACGTCCCGGCGCTGCCACCCGATAAAGAAATCGGGGAGGGGGGGAAAAACCAAAACCAAACCAAACCGAAAAAAAAAAAAAAAAACGACAAACAAAAACCTCTTTTTAACCCGCTTCAGCTACCTGGCGCTCATCACCGCCCTGGCCTGCGGCGCCGACTGGGTGTTCATCCCCGAGTCCCCCCCCGAAGACGACTGGGAGGATCACTTGTGCCGGAGGCTGACGGAGGTAGGCCAGGCTCCGGCGGGCGCCTCGGCCCCGGCCCCGGCCCCATTGTCACCCCCGGCTCCCCCCCCCCGGCCCCTCCAGACCCGTGTGGGCGGCTCGAGGCTGAACATCATCATCGTGGCCGAGGGCGCCATCGACAAGCACGGCAAGGCCATCACCTCCGATGACATCAAAGCCGTGAGTGGGGACAGGGAGGGGGACGGGGGGGGGAACGCCCTTGGATTTTTTTTTTTTTTTTGGTTCCCCCCCCCCGGGCCCTTCCGCGGGGCCGGATCCAGGCGCATCCCTGTCTTGCAGCTGGTGGTGAAACGTTTGGGATACGACACCCGAGTCACCATCCTGGGCCACGTCCAGCGCGGCGGGACGCCCTCCGCCTTCGACCGCATCCTGGTAGGCAGCTGCCTCCCGCCCCGGAGGAGAAGGGGGTGCTGGGGGGGGGGGGGGGGGCAGGATTTAATGTCCCTGTCCCCATCCCTGTCCCCGTCCCCGCAGGGCAGCCGGATGGGTGTTGAAGCCGTCATGGCCCTGCTGGAGGGGACCCCCGACACCCCCGCCTGCGTCGTCAGCCTCTCGGGCAACCAAGCCGTGCGCCTGCCCCTCATGGAGTGCGTCCAGGTGGTGAGTAAGGGGGGGGGGGACGGGACAGCACCCCCAGGAGCACCCCCTGGGCTTCCCCCCTCCCCCGCCCCATGTAAAGCAAACCCGCCCGGCGCGGTGCAAAGTCCCGGCAGTGATGCAAGCCCAGCCGGGTGCGATGCAAACCCACGGGGTGGCGAGGCGAACGCGTCCCAGTGCGGTGCAAACCCCTGCAGCGCTGTGCAAACCCCTGCAGCGCTGTGCAAACCCCTGCAGCGCTGTGCAAACCCCTGCAGCGCTGTGCAAACCCCTGCAGCGCTGTGCAAACATGGGCTGCAAACCCAGTGGGTGCAATGCAAAGCCGCGCAGCGCCGTGCCAAGGGATGCAAACCCACCCAGCACAGTGCAAAGCCACGCAGCGCCACGCAAACCCATCCAATGCCATGCAAACCCACCCAGCGCCGTGCAAACCCGGCCAGCGTGGTGCAAAGCTGTGCGGTGCGATGCAAACCCCTCCAATGTGATGCAAACTCAACCGGTGCGGTGCAAACCTGGCGGGTGCAATGCAGACCCGTCCAATGCGATGCAAACCTGGCCAGCACGTTGCAAACCTGACTGGTACGGTGCAAAGCTGGCCGGTACGGTGCAAAGCTGTGTGCGGTGCGATGCCAACCCACCCAATGCGATGCAAACCCGGCAAGCATGGTGCAAACCCGGCTGGCGTGGTGCAAAGCCACCCAGTGCAATGCAAACCTCTCCCGCACGGTGCGAAGCCACGCTGTGTGGTGCAAACCTGTCTGGCACGGTGCAAACCCATGCAGTGCGATGCAAACCCCACCAGAGCATGGTGCAAACCCAGCCAGCACGCTGCAAACCTGTCCACTGCAATGCAAACTCAACTGGTGCAGTGCAAACCTGGTGGGAGCAATGCAGACCTGGCTGGGGCAGCGCAAAGCGAGCCAGCAGGGTTGCAAACCCGATGGGTGCAATGCAAAGCCATGTGGAGCAATGCAAACCCACCCAATGCAATGCAAACCCGGCTGGCATGGCGCAAACCCAGCCGGCACCGTGCTAACCTGGCTGGCGCAGTGAAAAGCCATGTGCAGTGCGATGCAAACCCATCCAATGCGATGCAAACCTACCCAGCACAGTGCAAAGCCATGCAGTGCAATGCAAGCCTGGCCTGCACAGTGCAAAGCCATGCAGTGCAATGCAAACCTGTCCAATTCAGTGCAAACCCTGCCAACACATTGCAAACCTTAGTGGTATGGTGCAAACCTGGTTGGTACAGTGCAAAGCTGTGTGTGGTGCCATGCAAAGTCATCCAATGCAATGCAAACTCCACCAGCATGGTGCAAACCCAGCCAGCACGCTGCAAACCTGTCCACTGCAATGCAAACTCAACTGGTGCGGTGCCAACCTGGTGGGCGCGATGCAGACCTGGCTGGGGCAGCGCAAAGCCAGCCAGCAGGGTTGCAAACCAGATGGGTGCAATGCAAAGCCATGTGGAGCAACGCAAACCTGCCCAGTGCTGTGCAAAGCCACGCAGTGCGATGCAAACCTGGCCGGCACAGTGCAAAGTCACCCACTACAATGCCAACCTGGCTGGCACGGTGCAAAGCCACCCACTGCAATGCAAACCCATGCAATGCCATGCAAACCCACCCTGTGCGGTGCAAACCTGGCTGACACAGTGCAAAGCCGAACAGTGCAATGCAAGCCCATGCAATGCAACGCAAACCCACCCAGTGCAACGCAAACCTGGCTGGCACGGTTCAAACCCACCCAGTGCAACGCAAACCTGGCTGGCACGGTTCAAACCCACCCAGTGCAATGCAAGCCCATGCAATGCAACGCAAACCTGGCTGGCACGGTGCAAACCCATCCAATGCAATGCAAACCTGGCTGGCACGGTGCAAAGCCACCCAGTGCAATGCAAACCCATGCAATGCCATGCAAACCCCGCCGGGGCAGTGCAAACCCACCCTGTGTGGTGCAAACCTGGCTGACACAGTGCAAAGCCAAACAGTGCAATGCAAGCCCATGCGCAACGCAAACCTGGCTGGCACGGTGCAAACCCACCCAGTGCAATGCAAACCCATGCAATGCGATGCAAATGCACCCAGTGCAACGCAAACCTGGCTGGCACGGTGCAAACCCACCCAGTGCAATGCAAGCCCATGCAATGCAACGCAGACCTGGCT